TACTAATCACGAGCTCACATTAAGAACACCCGCTACATCCATGTGACTTCTGTCATCGTGTCGCCAGCAGCAGAATGAGAATGATAGGGAGCCCTATTTGTTGATGCTGTTGTTGATCGTGTCGTGTTGCTAATGTCGCTGTTATTGTTGTTGCTGTTGTTATTGTTGTTGTTGTTGTTGTGGTTGGTATCTTCCTGGTGGTCGTTGCTATTGATGATGCGGTTGTTGATGTTACCACAACCGCTGCCACTGTCGACTTTGCTGCTGCTGCTGCTGCCGCTGTTGTTGTTGTTGTTGTTGTTGTTAGCTTTAGGCAAACAGCAGCGACGAGCAGCACGCCCCAGTTCGAATGACAATCGACTCATCACCCCGTTCAGTCGGCCTCGGCGGTGGAATCCGGCCTGTCCGCCAAGGTGTTCGTTGGTTGAGGCTTGAAGGCTGTCACGTATACATAAATAACAAGCTGAGGTGTTCGTTTGCATACTTGTATTGGTATGTATCGACACACATGCATATGCGAAATCAGGTGAAGAGGTACATGAACAGGAGAACATACGCGCGTGCACATACTGTTGAACATATACAATAATGTGTATATGTATACATACATGTGCATGTATACATAGTCATATACATATACATATACATATACATATACGCATATGCATACACATGTACATGCATGTATACATGTGCATCTACATACATGTATATATATGTACATGTGTAACTATGTATACATATATACACATGTTTATGCATATAAACACACACACATATATGTACATATATATATATGTACACATACATATACTTACAACCAGGTAAGTATATATATATATATATAGATACGTATGCATGATTGCATTAGCGCGTGTCGGTCTTTATCAAAGGCTTCTGAACCGCTGAGCTCTAGGGCTTCGAGGAGCTTCCGAGGTCTGCTTCAGGACCGGGAGACCCCACGTTGGGGCTCGGTTGGGTTTTGGGTCTTAGGGTTTAGGTCTAGGGTTTAGAGTTCAGGGTTTAGGGTTTTTGGAAAGAGGACGATCGGTAGAAGCACTGAAGGACACTGGCAAAGCTTGGATTCTGCAAGCTCCCGTCGTAGTCCAACCCAAGACCCTGCCCTGCCCCGCATCCCGGTACTTAGACAATGTAGGGGCCTAATCAATTACCAATACTAGTTTGGGGGGTTCCTTATGATAGTTATAGTATAATGGGCCCCCAAACCCTACTCTGATCATTAAGGCCCCTATATTATGCAAACGCATAGAGAAGGGGAAGCCATCAAGCAAGCAGACCATGAAGCCAAGCATGCGGTAGAATATGATGTGAATGGCCGCCCATAGCATGCTGCACAAGGTGTAGGGCTTAGGGTTTAGGGTGTACAAGGTGTACATCACAACGCGAGATCGTATACTGTATGGAACTACCAAAATGCACCACCCAAATGAATGTTTGATATAATCCCTAAACTTGGCCCTAAACCCAGCGCCCTAAACCCCTAAACTTTAAGCCCTAAACCCCTAAACCCCTAAACCCCAAAACCCTAAATTTTTAACCCCTAAACCCAAAACCCCTAAACCCTGAACCCCGCAAACCCACACAGCCGTCATTGCCTCACAGCTTGCTGCCCGGCTTTGACCTGCAGGCTTGCCAAAGGGGATTTTATGAGGCCTCTCCCGTGCTCTTCTTGCAGTGCAGGGTTTGGGGGCTTAGGGTTTGGGGGTTTAGGGTTTGGGGCTTTAGGGCTTTAGGGTTTTAGGGTTTTAGGGTTTTTAGGGTTTCGGGTTTTAGGGTTTTAGGGTTTAGGGTTTAGGCTTTAGGGTTTAGGGGTTTAGGGTGTAGGGTTTATGCAGCAAGGTCCTAAAACCTACCATAACCCACTTTTTTGTAGGTTCTTATTATACACCCTAATATGGGATTTATAGGGACCCTACAAAAAAGGAGGTTCTGGTAGGTCAAGCTAGGCCCTAAACACAGCGCCACAGAGCCGACTCTCTGTCCGCACCTCAGCCCGGCGTCGCTCGATGTGCCGGCGATGCTGCCTGGAAGCTTTGGAAATCGGTTGCCACCTTGAATCCTACATGCCCTAAACCCTGAATCCCAAACCCTATAAACCCTAAATCCTAAACCCTACAAACCCTAAATCCTAAACCCTAAACTCTAAATCCTAAACCCTAAACCACCACGGTCGATACTGTGAAGATAAAAAAATAAAAGCTATGGGTTAGGAGGGGCAGCACCAACGCCCTCAACACCAAATCCTTAACCAGGGGTGGCGGAATCCGAAACCGCTTAGCCACTGAATGCTGTGCAGGATTAATTCGGGTTTCTCAAAAAAAGGAGCCCGTAACGCGAACCCTAATGTTGCAGCAGGACATTAGCATCGTTAACGTAAGGCCAACCCTTCACGTAAGCTTAGGCGGTTTCGGAATTATGGTATTTACATTGCCATAAGACCTTCAACACTGGTGTGGAACTACTCCGGAAGAGGCCCGCGTTTTGCAGATATCTTTGAGATCTTGAGCATGTGGTTTTGGCGCTTCCGCCGCTCCAGGCCCGAAACCCCAAATCGCGGACCCTCCATTCAACACACAAAAGCCCTGGGGTTTAGTCCTGCATCTCACGAAACCTAAACCAAAGCTCTCAGCCCCCCCCAAAAAACATCCTTCGAACCCCCAAAACCCCCAACAAACCAAAAACAAAGGGACGACCACCAAACCAAGACTGCGGGCGAATTGCTCCGTCCGATTCTCCTCCTGCTCCTGCGAGCCCGGGCTGATCGCGGGTTCTTCAAGCTTGAGGGGCAGGGCGCAGAGGGGTTTAGGGTTTAGGGCGGTTTTAATAAGGGCAGGGCACAGAGGCTTCACTGTGGGGTTTCCCTGGCCCCTCAGAGTTTGGGGCTGAGATATAGGGCATGGGCTTCAGGAGATTCAAGAACTGATTTCTAGTCCCTCTAACGGTTTACGCCCGGCCGTGCAGAAAAACCTCGCAACAGTGCAAGGTGCACTAAAGATGTAGCGGCTTGAGGACGAAACCCCGGCACCCAAACCCTAAACCGTAGATCCTGAGCTGCACATCGTGCGCCAAATCTGCAAGACACTTGCCCCAATCCGAATAATCGATGAGGTCGTGATATATGACCACTGCACATTTGTTTCCAATCTTGAACACCTTGTCGTCGTCTTGCAGCTCTTGCAACTTCGCCTCTGCTTGCTTCTTCGTGAGGTTGTCCCCCTCCCCAGTCTGAGCCCACTTGACGTCGTGGGTCTCCGTCATCAGCCTACGGGTCCTTTGGAGCCGGGTACCCTCTAAAGCCACCAACTGCTCCTTGTACCTGCGGACCCCCGGTCACTCACGCGGCACATCAGCCGCCTCCGCATTTTTTGCGGAGGGGGGCACAGTCTCCATGGGAGAAGTCGTAATAGCCGGCTCAGGGCGCGACCTCGGTGCATTGCTGCTGGTAAAACCGGACAATTTAGAATTTAGCGGAACTTCTAAACGGTGTAACCGACCGTAGGGGTTAAGGTAGGCCCAGGGAACTAGTAGACCAGGCCCTGAAAATGCCCGCTGTTGTAGTCACGAAAGCCTGCATATTAACGGCCATAAAGCCCCTGTAACTTGCAATACCTTTAAGAAGCCCATCCTTATTCACAAAGCCCTTGCTTAAGCCTTGGACTTCAGCAGTGTGAAGTTTTAGGGTTTGGAGTTTCGGGCTCAATGTAGGATTTCTCAGCTGGCTCGGTGTGAGGGTTGAATTTTGTGGGTGTAGGGCTAGGGGCAGTGCTATATAAGTTCAGGGGGCAGAAGCCCAGGCTTGACGTCAGACCAAAAAAACTTAAACCCAAAACCCCAAACCCTGAACCCAAACATCAAAAACCCGAAATCCTTCAACCCCGTAAGGCTATACGCCCAAAAAGCCCCCAAAAACTCAGAGCTCTTAAACCCCTGACCCCCAACAGCCCAAACAACATCCAAACCGACCCTGAAGCTGATAAAATCCCAAACCCCCTAGATTCTAAGGCCCAGGGTTTAGGGTTTAGGGTTTAGGGTTTTAGGGTTTAGGGTTTAGGGTTTAGCGTTTAGGGTTTAGGCTTTTAGGGTTTAGGGTTTAGGGTTTAGGGTTTCAGGGTTTAGGGTGTAGGGTTTAGGGTTTAGGGTTCCAAGGCGATACGAGACCAACGACCCTAGTAGCAAAAACAGCACCCTGAAGCGCGAAACCACAAAACCTCTACACATTTCCTACCGCCACAATCCCGCTCCACCTCGGCCGGACCTTCTGCGGCAACGGGCTGCCTGGCTCCAATGGTTTTAGCCGCTAGGAAAACCTGCATGTCCTGCCAGCTCCTAGGACCTGAGCAGCATTTCTGAAAACGTGCATGCGTGGATCCAGCGTTATCTGGTCTGCGTGCTGTGCGTCATGACGCCCACGCCGGACGGCAGCAAGAGATGGTGGGGCCTTGTGTCGCTCTACTTCCCGTAGCCGCATCCGGAAACAGGGAAAACCCGCCCGCTTCATAATTTCCGGTACCGATGACTCGGGAGGAGCAGAATGCTTTGCAGCGGCTCTGGTGCGACTTCATCGAAGTATCGAAAGCGGAATCGAAAACTGTGCACGTCCGCATACCCTGACGTCGTTTGAGTCTACAAAATCGAACCTTGTGGTGGCGGAACACCACTGAGAGCATAATTCCGAAAACCCTGATAGGTTGGAACGAACATCTGCCGGAACCGATAAGCACGTCCATCACAAAGAATGCTTATTGCAGAAACCTACGTGGAACGTATCGCTCGGCAACATTTCAAGCCTCAAGACCCAATCTGCTCTCACCATGGCTTATTGCAGAATACAAGCCGTTCAAAAGACATACGTGCAAACATTCTGCGATAAGCCAAGGATGGGGAGTTTCGGGTTCTTCAGTTATTTCAACAAAAGTCCATGTGACATCGGCTCGTGAATCGTAACCTGGGTCATCATAAAGTTGGGCTGGATTTCGGCTATCTGCTATGCTTGCATCTGCATTCGCTTCGTCCGGGCCCGCGGAATCTTGATTTTCGGTTCGCCCTTAGGACCTAAAATGCTTGCTGCGGTCGGACTTGAGGAGACGAACAAGCGGCAACAGCGGCGACGTCGGCAGCAGCAGAAGGAGCAGCAAGACCGGCACCAGCAGCAAAAAACACATTCAAAACAACTCACACCCTCAAGCATAAGTTCTCAACCCTCAGCCCTGCACGTTTAAACACAGCTCTAGAGATCTCTAGAGAACTGCTGTTTCCTTGGCCTGGACGGGCTCCGGCTCTGCATCGGCCAACGGTCAGACTCCTGCTGAAGCTCAGAGTCTCATGTTCTTGGGTGACTAAACCCTAAACCCTAAACCCTAAACCCAAAACTCTAAGGAAACACTAAAGGTCTAGGATTTAAGGCTTAGCACTTTCAGAAATTCAGGGTGCGCGGTTTGGGATTGTGTAAGATACAGGTTACAGCTCTCGTGAGATACGTATACAGGATTGATGATAGCAATGCTGGGAAAGGGTTCAATTTTCGCTTTTTGGCCAAAAGATGCCCGAAAGGCTCTTGGCTTTTGCTACCAAGTGGTGCGCGAAAAACATGCTGCTGGAACTTCTACCTGCCTGTGACAAGATGGGTTAGATGGGATGGACCCGAAATATGAAGCCTCAATCTTAAGCCCCGAAAACCCTTGCAACAACTCGAAACAACGATGTCAGCCCTCACCCTTACAAACTCATAATTAACACGCCCTTCAGCCCAACACACAAAATCCGGAATGACACACCTGAACCCTAAACCCAAGACACTTCAAAACTTAAAATCCCAAAATCGACACCCTAAACCTAACAGCTGGCACCCCGAACCCCGCAATCCACAGCCTCGGTCTCGGCAACGGCAGCCGGGGGCGGGCCTTCCAGATCCGGGACACTCGTCTTTAAGCTTAACCGGTTCAGGTTTCTGGGATTACATATTATATAAACATTATTATAATAGTATATTATATAATATCTTAAATCAGTATAATAATAATAATAGCTTGTTATATTACAATGTATTGCAATGGTTTCGCAACCGGGCTTCCGAATTTAAATCTACTTAGACTGAGGACTACTATTGACTGCAACGACTGAACATTTCAGGGCTTCGAGGGCATCTGAGATAACATGATAAGGCCAGGGAATCTTCATCTTTAGGTTTTGGGGCTGTGGGTCTTAGGGTTCGGGGATATGGGCCTTGCCCGGAAAATCACGCAGCACCGCTTGTCCTCTCTGTTTGCAGATGACAGTGACTTCAAACTGTGCGTTGTCGCTAAGATAGGCTCGGCGTCTCATGTCACAGTAGCCGTATGGGCACCTTGCAAAGGAGAGCCATCAAGTAGATGGGGATGCTGAGATGCCAGATTCCGCCTTCATTCCAAGAACTCCGCCTTCGGGCCCCTCCCATGCCGACTTTCGAAACGATGGCGTAGCCGGGCAAATCCCCGAAGGAACAAAGAACGACAACGTCGCAACTGCATTCCAAACAAGCCGAAGACTCGTTTAGAACAACAGCAAGTTCTCCCTGGGCTTAGAGTTTAGAGTCTAGGGTTTAGGCCTTTCTAAGGCATCCTTGTTTTTGGGCTCCAGGCCTGAATAAGAATTGGAAGGCAATAAGAGAATGCTGCGAACTTCCAAAACCCCAAACACTACAACCCATAGGCTCCCCCTGCGTCCTCTTCCGTGCGTTTGTGTGTGCGCATATATATATATATATAAATGTCCTATGTATTTTGTATCATATATCATATATATATATATATAGCATTGCACAGCCCGATAACCAGTTTACCCACACGATCCTGCCAATACCAGTATCTTTCAGAGCCGGGAAGCAGCAGGCAGCCTTGATTTGAAGTTGACATCCAGAAACTTACTCAAACTGCCACAGCATTCTATGAATCCGAGGCCTACCACCCACAAAAGGCGAAGGTACCGACAAGCCAAGCCCAACACCCTACAACTACCCATAACTACCCCCTAGTCTAGATACGAATAAGGCTTAACTATTAATTGGTAGGCTATCGCAAATCACCACCTATGCTACTGTAGAATCGAACGACCTCATACAAGGTATATTGGCGATGCTTGTACACCGACCCCCGAGAGTGAAAGGCGCGCCTTCTTCTTCTTTCACTTCTGGAGCCTGTCAGGTGCCCAGGGACTTGCTCTTTGCGGCTTTGGCTTGTCAGCAGTGAAACAGCGACTCTTCTACCTTGCTGCTTCGCGAATTTAAATATTCCCCGCCAGTTAGACTCTAAACCCCAAGCCCCATCAGAACTCCGAGAGGAACCTGCAAGTGTGACCTGATGGCCCTGGATAACAAGTATTTATGAAGGTACAAGAGAGGATAGTTGGTTGGGAGTCTCCAGATGCCGCGCCTTCCATTGGGATGGTGAGGATCTAGGTATCGGGGCGGTGCAGGGTTTAGGGTATGTACATATTTTCCCTTCTTTCAAGCTTGTTCTTCTTGAAGTTACGGTTTTGAGGTTTAGGTCCATTTAGCTCCCTGCAAAGGTTACAGGCTATATCGATGCCCCTACCCCTTCAGGGTTGGTTTCTCTGAAATTTAAAAAAACAGATCTCACTGATCTCACTCTCGATCTGGCTCCCTGAAGAACGGCAGTGGTGCGCAGATTGGAACCTGCAATCTTCTAGCAAATCAGCCTGTTACCCGAAATGAAAGGAACGACGCAAGAGCACGGAATGTAAGGAATTCATGAACCCTAAACCCTCACGTGGAAACCCTCAACCCCTCAAGAGCGACACCCTGGAGCGCGGAACCCAACACCCGGGCTCCATGTCGCCCCTGTAAGGGCACTACTTAACACTATTATTAGGGTTTAGGGTTTAGGGGTTTAGGGTTCAGGGGTTTGGGGTTTAGGGTTACCCACATCATCCCTTTCTTTGGCAGTTGGCAGCTCACCGGCTCCCTTTGAACCCCAAATCTTGGCAACTCCCAAACCCCCCCCCCCCCCCCCAAACCCCTTTTTTCGAATAAATTAAGGCCCCTTTACTACTCCCCAGCTCCCTGTGCATGCCTCACTGAGTCCCTCCTCCAGCGGAGCATCCGCGGAAGAGGCCTTACGCCGGCTTTTGGTTGAGCTTATAGTAGGGTTTAGGGGTTTACGGTTT